AAGATGTTTCAGAAAGATTTATTCACAGCTCATATGAGTTTTGTTTTCTCTGGCAAATAATAAAGAAAAAACTTAATTTCATTCCATTTCATACTGTGAAAAAGAGACAGTTGAGGAAAAACATTAGAAGTGTCCAGGGATGAAAGTTGTCAGTGTCATCACTCACTGCCGTCTGCTGTCTCCCTTAGTGTCAAACTGTTTTATCCATTACAGCTACTGCAGTGGAAAGCTGAAAGGTGTGTAGTGCTAATCTGCCAAATATGAATTTTCTCTCACAACTGTAACAAATCAGGGAGTGTACGGCTGTTAAACTGGAGGAAGAACACGAAAAAATTGAACCCCGTGTAAAATGTGTGAAATTAAAGATAACTGTCCATGTCCATAGGACTGACTAATATACCAAATGAAGGAGTCCGATAAGAAATTCACATTACACTATGCAGTATCCCAGAAAGAGATTCAAAAGTCTACTTGACTTTGGAGAAATCTCCCCCTCTCTTTGTGTTCTAAAACCTCTCAATCCGTCCGTGATGAGAAGTCTCTGCAGCCTGGGTGTGGAGTTGCTGACACAAAGCTTCAGAGCGATACACGGCTTATGAGTGTGTGACTAACAGAAATGGAGGGATAATCCCCCCCCCCCCCCCCCCCCCTGCTTGGGTTTGCAACTGACTGGCTTTAGGGGGAGAAAAAAAAGGCTGGGACACAGGCTTGGTCCAAAAGGACTGAGAGAAGGAGGGAGTAGGAAAAGAAGAGAGAGGGCAGAGAAATTATGCAAAATAAAGAGAGAGAGAAAACAGTCCCCAGCCACTGCTTCATATTGTAATTGCCATGGTAACAACAAGGAAGGAAACGGCAGTGGTTTGTCACATGGTATGAACTGTGATACCTAATGAGGTTGATATTAATCAGAGAATTTAGCGCTCTGAGAAATCTTCAGAAACAGAAACGAAGCTGCGGGTTTAAACACAGAATTCACAGAGGACTCGTAACTCGGAATCTAAACAGTCTCCCATGGTCAAGTCGTTAATAAATTGTTTTTTATTAGGGATGTCCGATAATATTGGTCGCCTGATATTAACATAATAATTTAATATCTGTAAATATCTGTTTTGGTTTTTCCTACAAAAACCCCAAAATGTCTGATCTAAACATAGTTTGGGGAAAACGGCTGTATTTGAAAGTGAAAGCCACTAGATGGCAGCATCGCAGCTCATTGTAATAATCATTTTTAATAATTAGGGGATTGTATCTAGAATGATGATGCCAGCAACTCAATATGGAGGTTTGTACAGATAATTAAATAAATATTACCAGAGCTCAATAGTATTTTGATTTGTGGAAAGTGAAAAATCTTTTCTATCCTAGGGGGCGCATGTCGGAAAATAATTTAGAAACACTGATTTAACCCAACATCTTAGTGAGCATGTCGCACTTAACTTCCTTAACCACCAGGCCACCACTGCCCTGCTATATAGGTATCGGTTGATATCGTAATCGGAAATTAGGGGTTTGGACAATATCAGCATATCGGATACTGGAAAAAGGTTCAGACAAAAGATCAGACATCACTAGTTTATATCCAAGCCCTTACAGGACTGTAGTGTATACAGTAGAACCATGAAGACAAAAACAAAACTGCCAGCAGCAGCAAAGTGTCACCCACTGCAATAGTTTCATCGTAATCTGACATAATCTGTCCTAACCTGATTTAACCTTACCGAATCTAATTAAATAAAATTTGTTTCTTCCAGAATGAAACTTGTCCACACATATCAAATAATTGCAGAGGAGATGCCGTTAGGAAAGAGAAGAAACTACTGAAACACGGGACGTCAAGGACGTCTGCTGTCAGAGACGCTGTGAAAATTCATCAATCTGAGGTAAAGTTATTCGACAGAAAAAAAAAATAACCACAAGGCGTTCAGACATCTGAATCAACACAACTCTCACTGCGGTTACACACAGGGAGGAACCTTCTTCACATTATTTAAAGTTTTCTAATAACTTTCAATGTTTTTAACTAACAAATGTTTCATGCCTCATGATGTAGCATGTAACTGTTAAAAATCTGTGTTTTTTACATATTGCTAACAAAAAATAGTTACTGTTTTTTGCCTGTAGGATGAATGTGATGCTTGATGTCAATGAAGTGAATCTGACAAAAAAAAAGTGAACAATCTTATCCAGTTTTACTTCAATTATCAAGATACTTCCTCAATCATGCGATTATTATGATGGATGGATGGATGGATGGATGGATGGATGGATGGATAGTTGT